TTTATAGAGGGAAATTGTGTCTACTGCGAGAGGTGATTGTAATAGTCTAATTAACCTGGTAGTCAAACATTTTAATTTATTTCAATCGTAGATATTTCGTATGTTGTAAATTAATAAAACAAGTAAAAAATAAGTAAATGATTTATTGCTTGGTACTCTACTAAATTGTTATTGAAGTAAAAGAAAATATTTTGCACAAGCATACTCTTTAAAACAAATACTTTCATACTATTGTTTAGATGAAGACAGATAACATAAATTGTTTACGAAAAAGATCATTGTAATGGAATTAAATGTAATACTAATTCAATTGAATACAGCAGCTATTCGAATTATGCAAACTATAATTGTAACTTTCATACAAGACAATTGTAACATATACCCTTAAATAAGAGTAAAACGTTGAGTTTACACCAGTTCACTATAACGTAGCCAACACAAAACACTCATCAACACTTGATCTATTGTACCCTATATAGAGTAATCATCAGTGTAAACTTTGTACAGTATGTAGTTACTAGTGATTTTTGTCCGTTAGGCCCCGGCCACACGAGGCGAATTTAAGCCGCGCGGCTTATCTTCGAGCGAAGTTAAGCCGCGCGAAGTGTTAACAGTTAGTGTGTGTTAACAGTTAGTTATAACTGGGTCAAAAATCTTACTAACATTATAAATGTGAAAGTTTGTGTGTTTGTTTGTTTGAAGTTCAATCACGCATAAACTACTGGACGGATCCGGCTGAAATTTGGCATGATGGTAGCTCACATTCCCAATTAACATATAGGCATATTCTTATCTCAAAAATCCTTTCGGGCTCCACCCCAGTGGCTCTGTAGTTTCCCATGTTAACCTTATGATGAGTATTCATATAAAGGGAATTAAAGAATTTAGTCAGCTGTTTCAAATAAAAAAGTCGGTTCTATGTAAAAGCATTAAAAGTTATAAGATTTACCAACAGGGTGCAAAACTACATTTTTTTGCATTTATGAAAACAGCTAATTATAAGTAAGCAGCAACAACAAACTGTGGTATGCCATGAGAACTGTCAAGGTAGGATTGTTTACAGTTGTGTTTATGTTTTTAATTTCATGAATAATTTTTGATATTTTATGCACTTTTAATCATTTGTTTTTCTCTATTGTTCAGATGAAGTGGTGGAATATTATGGCTATGGTAGATGTGTAATACTATAGTATACTGTAAATTTATAGAAGCAAATTTTATCAACATGTGTCCTCCCCCATTGCAAGTTCCAAGTTTGAGTTCAATATAACTGCAATAAGCATTTCTTTACTTATATGCCAACCCCGTATACGAAGGACGGGTACTCTGCTAGTAATTAATATAGCAATTGAAAGTTCTATAGCAAATAAGTTGTCACAAAAGTAAGTATATTTCATATTTCGTCTATCGTATTACCTTTAATGCGGCCAATGACGATATATGACGATATAGCGATAGTTAGCAACCATAATCAATGGGAGTACAATAAATGTTATGGGCATAAAAGTAAAAAATTGAGTCATTAGAAACCAAAGATCCACATTAATTATTGTAGGTAACATTCGTAAGTTTATTTGTTGTGAAAAATTAACTACAGCTTTACTATACTTCCACAGTCTACCACTGTAGGCCTACCGTTACTGTAGTTTTGTGAAGGTTCACTTTAGTTATCGAACACAAATGATTCTACATACTGTACAGTCTTCAGCACCTTCCAGTACTAATTCCTGTGTAACACTTATTTTTCTGTTTACTGTTTGGATTCTTCACAGTTCAAAGAGACTTATAACGAAATATCACACTCTTTACAATATCAACAAATTACTGGGCTGCGTATTCTTCATTAAATTTACCTTTACACGAACCCTCTTCTACAATACTTTCATTTTAGCGAATTTCCCTATAGGGAAGTAGCTATTACCGTAGGTCTCATGGTAAGACTTAGGCCCGGGACCGATTTACTTTTTCATTTTGATGTCCCCAGAGGCCAAAAACACCATTCGTTCAAATTTTTATATATGTATATATATATATATATATATAGATTTATATATATATATATGTGTCCGTGAACACGATAACTTGAGTAATTTTTATCCGATTTTGATGAAATTTGGTTTGAAGGTGTAAGGCGGGATAAACTTCAATGAGTTCGCGATCCAGCATGATCGGACTATGGGAACAGGGTTTTATGGGGGGTTTTATGGGGTAAAAATTGGTTTTTCTCATTTTTGACCCTCAAAACACAAAATTTCCCAATTTTTCTCTAAACATTCTTAAAGAGCTTAAAAAAACAAACATTTCAGTATATCAAAGTGTTTTTGTACGGTTATTGGTTACGGAGAAAACTAAAAAAATGGTAAATTTAAAATTCCCATGTTATTCTTATGGAGAATATTGTAAAATGTTGTATTTTGCTTGTTTATGGATATATTTTGATCAAACTTGGCAAATTTTTTTATTTTATAGTAAGCTATCAATATTTTACTAAAAACACACTTTATTAGTTTCCTTGTAGCAGCAAACCTAGGTACTCGTTAAACCTAATGTTATTTAAATAGATCAATTGAAAATCAATTCAGCCAAATGGAAATTCGCTTAGACGGCAGGTTTGCTGCGGCGGGGGTATTTTTATTTTATACCTACATGGCAGGACAATAAGAGCAAGTAAATTTGCATTTAGACAATTAGACTTCTAATAAATGTTTTTAAATTGTAGAAAATAATATACCTTAAACAAAAATAAATGAATATTAAACTAAAAGATAGTAACGGGTGACTAATCCTTGCTGAGTTTGGTTAATTACATTTAATTGTTAAAGAAATATACTACACAGACATGTTTTATTACAATACAAATATAATTCTATTAAATACCATAGAAATTTCATCGCAGAACTAATAACAACTTGAATAAGGTATGCAATTAAAAAAGGAATATTTAAGATCCTACTCCAGTTTTTTAAACATTTATCATGCAAAATACGATTATTTTTATAGGTAAGGGGCATAATTTATCTCTCGGTACCGGTACCACACTAGACTTTTCGTTGATTAGTTGAAGCCGAAAACTGGTAAGTCCTATTGGAGCATAAATCTTTTACTGGAAAGATTATTATAATGAAATAATTAATTTAAATAATTATGTAACTAATTAGACCTGTCCATATTTTGTTTCAACTATAAAAAATAGTGTTTACAATTTGTACAATCTACCATTAAATACGGGTGAAACATTGAGTTGACGCCTGTGCACTCAAACGACACCAACTGGAAACACATTTATTGAAAATAATTGTTGTGCATTTGATAACAATATATCACTATTATTTAAACAAATTAAATGCTAAATTGATTCGTTTACGATAGCATACTTTTAATAAGCGGATTTAAAACAATTGCTTTATTTACACAATATTCGTCAATTAATAATCTGAGCCCTATCTATAATTACAGTGCCTTGTGATTCAGAACGCAACCCATATACATCACAGTTACGCAAACAGTATTTGAATAGTAAAGGGAGTTAATGTACAAATGTTGGTCAGTCGAACGCACGGGAATCGAGTAGTCAATTTTTTAAACAGTTTAATTCAGAACAGCTATTTACACATATAAAGACCAAAAAACTATGTCGTATAAGTCAATTCTCATATCTTCAACGATTAAGCGATAGTTTGCAGAACAATAAGTATTTTCAAACATGACTTAAAATTGTTACAACAAAACCTTTTACTTAGGTACACAAATTGAATCTCCAACAAAACTTGATTAGACGCAAATGTTTGATATACAGTTGAACATTTTACATTTTTTGATAAAACACATTCTTTGTAAGGAAAAAATTAAATTTCACTTGAATTAGGTTACAGCAGACATTCGCTAGTTGTGGGGAAAACTAAATATAATTTAACGTTACAATTTCAATTTAATTAAATTTGAAACTACCTGTTTGTTACAACAACCGGAAACAACTTCAAATATTTAGCGTTGGTTACTAGTACACTATTACAACTTAATAGTTCAGCTCAAATAAACCACGACAAATTCATTATCTTTTCATTTTTCAAATGATTTATTCTGGATTCTCTTACGGAGTAAACAAAAATTGTCATAAGCTATAAAAATAAGTTATTATTTGTTTAAGACGTTTGCCAGATAATTTAGTATTGTTATTGTCAAGGTTAATACTTAAACCATCTTTTAAGAATAAAAATAAACACGTTATTTTACTTTTGAAAATAAATAGTAAACAATACCAACACTAGCCCTGCATGCCTTCAAAGTCCCATATATACATGTATGTATGAATGCGTGTGTATTTAAGTGTGTGTACTTGAAAATACTAATAAAGAAATATTAATTAAAATATCAATTAACAAAACAAATAACCATTAACGTTGCTGGTGACGACGTGTGTATACGCCTTCAATCTGAGAGACGCAACAGTTCTAGCATTTTGGATGTTCCGATCTGACTAGTAGCGTTTTGGAAATTCCGACCCGGCATATGATCACAAGTTCCAAAGTGAAAAGGACAGTCTATTTCATAAGTTTACTTTAAGAAATAAATTTGTACTTCTAGTTATGACTGTACTTTTGGATCTTACTATTTTGGAACTTCCGATCGGCAATATTTTCTTTGGATCTTTTGATTTTGGATCTTCCGACCCGCTAAATAACCTTTGGAAATTCCGATTTTGGAAGATCCGATCGGCAATATAAACGTTGGATCTTACGATTTTGGAACTTCCGATCGGCAATATATTCTTTGGATCTTCCGATTTTGGAACTTTTGAAATACTCCCCGAGTACCGACAACTCAACTCGGTCAGCTAGGTCCCGGCCCCTCCCTTCTGGGGGAAGGGCGTGGCTTCGCCGTGGTCACGTGTTTCGCGGTGCGGTCGCTTACCCTCTACACTTCTGAAAATTCCCGCGACTTCTTTGAATTACCTCTACTCCACCCAAATTTCAGCCTTCCTTCGTCTCGTTTCTTGTTCTGTTCTGCGTTTCTTCTTCTTCTTCTCTTCTAGATCTGCTGCAGTGCTGCTGCTGCTGGCTGCTGCTCTAGCTCGAGTTTGAGGTTGGATTTTGATTTTGGAGAATTTATTGTTTGTCAATTTCAATTGTCATACAAATTTGTATTTTAGGTGTGTATTTTCAATTTAGGCCTAAGTTACAACTACTACAGTTTAAAGAACCATTTTTGTCATCACAAAATGGGTGGAATGAGGTGGATATTGGGGACTGGGAGGACTGGAGTGATAGTGATAGTGATTCAGGAGTTGAGATTTTGGATTTTGGTGAGTTTTTTGAATTTTAAACCCATATGGAAGTGTATCATAATTGCTACCATAGTACCATGTTTCCTCTTTGGTCCCGTAATTTTAAACTGTTTGACCTCACTGATTGTAACTATATTCCTATCCTTTGTTCGTCTGATTCTATTTTCCTCAATGTCCATTGTTCAAGTGTACCCAAATTAGGACTAAATACGAGGGCTACTCTTCCTTTCATGTTGAAGTGCCAGAACCACAATAATGATAGTCACAATAAGTGCCCATAGTCTGTGGGGACTTTAACATTGAAATGGCCAAGATGGAGGAACAAATCTCAATTAATTTCACGAACCTACTACGATCACTTGACCTAAAATGTAGTAATAAATTCCCTACAAGAAACGATGCCTGTTTAGATAATATATTAGTCAATTTTTCTCAAGATTTTTACAAAGTTTCAATTTTGCAAGGCGCTTTGGCCGATCATGATCCACTGCTTTTTAAATACCATAGACCTGCCTGCAAAAGCTCACAAAATGTAGGCCTATCTATTGAGCAGCCTAGTGTTCTTGTTAGGAAACAAAATAAACAACATCTCAATCTTTTCCGTGAGGTACTGCAGAGCGAGTCATGGGAAGACATTACAGAAAATGAGAGTAGCCCAGTAACATTGTTGGATAGTTTTTTTGATAGGTTTGTTAACCTCTGGTACTAGTGTTCTCCACCTGTTAAGAAAAAGCTTAGATCAGATAATAAGACTAATCTAGTGAAAAATAAAATCACCTATTATAGTGATAGTTTTAAAAAAAAGTAAGGAAAATTGATTCTGTAAAGGCTCAGGCAGCTTATAATATCTACAATAGCTTAAAAAAACAGTACAGGAAGGATTTAAACCTTGCTAAAAAATTAGCCTGTGCAAAATACATTAACAATTCAAAGAACAAATGCAAGGCCGCCTGGGACATAATAACACAGGAAAATACAACCACACGCACATCTCATGTTACTCTTGACCCTAACAAATTAAACACATACCTACTTTACAGATTCAGTTGAGGAACTGGCCAATCAAGTGGGCCAGACTCAAGACACACCAAGAGAACTACTGGAATCTACACAAAAATTGGGCGTCTCTAAATTTGAATGGATACCTATTACACCAAATGAGGTAACAAAAACAGTCTCAAAATTTTCAAATTCTAAATCTATGGATCACTTTTGGCTTTCAAACTACATAATCAAGAATATTATACACTACATATCTACACCCCTCTCCACCGTATTTAATAGTTGTCTCCGTAATGGCTATTTTCTTGACCAACTTAAAGTCTCAAAAGTAACTCCAATTTATAAAAAGGGTGACAAGAATCTATGTCAAAACTATCGCCCAATCTCGATAGTACCAATCTTATCTAAGGTTTTCGAAGCTCTCATGTTAAAACAGTTAAATAACTTTTTTGACTCTAATAACTTGATGACTGATTCTCAATTTGGGTTTAGAGCTGGCAAATCAACTATGATGGCAGTCTCTCACATTTCCAATTATATTATTAATGCTTTTGAAAATAAAAATACTGTTTCCATGCTACTTTTTGATTTAACAAAAGCTTTCGACTGCATCCCGTTTGACATCTTGCTGGCTAAACTCAAATTCTATGGACTTAGCAAAAACACAATAGAAATGCTTGAATCATATCTGACTAATAGGAAGCAATATGTTAGTGTGGAGGGTAAACACTCAACATTGACCACAATTAAAGCAGGAGTTCCGCAGGGCTCGGTCCTAGGCCCTTTCCTTTTTATAATCGCAGTAAATGATCTTCCATGTAACACTCCTGTCGAATGTGTAATTTACGCAGACGATACCACAATTTTTACTTCTGATAAAGTCCAAACAAAGCTCTCATAAGCTCTTTCTAAAGCAGAAAAGAGTGTTTTAAACTGGTTTTCTGCAAATAAACTGATCTGTAATCAATCCAAGACCCAGAAAATTGATTTCTCACTCTCTATTAAACAATCAGACCACTCAGTAAAAATTCTTGGCTTCCACCTCAATAGTAAATTAAACTGGAAAACTCACATCACAAATTTGAGCAAAAAACTATCGAGAGTTTCATGTTTATTCTGGAAACTCAAGCCTTTTGTCGATATTGAATATCTCAAACTAGCCTATTTTGGGCTGTTTCAATCAATATGGAATCCAACTTTGGGGCCATTCCCCCCTTGTCCATGAACTTCTACTAATACAAAAAGAAGTCATTTGCACAATGTTAGGGGCTGACCCTGCGGAGCACTGCAAACCACTTCATTTGAGTTTTTAGCATTTTATAACATAGCCTATACGTATTTGATACTCTCAGCAGCTGGAGTAGTGTGATCTTTTCTTTGATTATTGTGGCTTCACGTGACAGGTGGAGGTGGATGGCTATAACTTACAAGGTTACATGGTACACATTAAATTCATAATGATTTGCCTATTTCGGTAGACTGGCTTTTTCGTAGGCCTAAGCTTCATTGCTCTTTACAATTTCAAGAGATCTATTGTTCAAGGCGTCAATGGGCAACTAACCTAAGTTTATCGCCATTCTACCGCATTATAACCCACCCTACAGGGCCCAGATTTTGTAGGTAGCAAATGCGCAACTAACCTACCGCTAGGGCAACGGCCATCAAAACATTTTTATGTGTGATAATAAACCTTGTAGGTTAGTCTAAACTTAGTTGATACTACTAACAAAATAACTTAGCTATCTTAAAGACATCAAGTAATTAAGTAGGCCCATTTTATTGGTCGTTTAATAATCACTGATCACTATAGACTTCGTCTGAGACACATTAACTCACGGTATATAGGCTACTTGATCAATAGCGATATAGGCCTATTATCACAGTCACATTTTTATGCATAGCTTATCAAATAAATAGGCTCTATCACAGACGTTAAAATAAATAATAAGTATAGTTGTGCAGTTAAATAGATCAGGGGTAATAGTACTTGTTGTAATATGTAGTTAGGCTATACTTCACCAAATCCATTTCAATGCATCAAGCAAAAGAGCTGTAACCCCATGATTAGCCTGGGCTAGTCTAATAATATTTTAAGACATTTTTATTTTATGATATTAAAAACATTAGGCTACACTAAGCTAATGAAATCTTCCCATAAACTTAGCCTACTCGGCTTTTAATTTTTGCATCGATTTTGACTGCCCTACCCGTCAATGAGGTTAAGGGTATAAGTTAGGCCTAACCTATACAAAATCCTGCCTTAATCTGAATGGGAAAACATTATTATTTGCAGATGATACAACGATGCTGTCCAGAACCTTTAGTATTATTACAGTTGTTCGGCATTTGGATCATTGCCGGCCAATCTTAAAGGATCTTAAGCTACGTTTCCATTCCTGCAAATTTGTGCCGGCACAAATCTCCAAATTTGTAGGAATGGAAACATCCTGGCTCAAGTCACGGCGCAAATCTCTCATCAATTGATTAAATGCACCTTCCAATGCTCTTTTAGCCAAAAAAACTTCTTATCCTCTATCTAGGTAGTTTTCTTCTAAGTTCATTGTATGCACCAGCCATAAATAAAAAATCAGAGGCTGTTATGTCATCCATGGTGATTTGTAGAACACAATATAATCAAAATCATCCACCGAACCTCACCACATCACAATAAAAGAGAACACTGCCTTGTCTGCCAGTTGAAGTGGCGGGACTTGTGCCTGGAATGGAAACGGCATGACAAACTACGTGCGACATGTGCCTCAACTTGTGCCTGCGACTTGTAGGAATGGAAATGTAGCTTAAGGGTACTCACGGCGTAGTGCTTGATATCCTGACCCTAGAAAAGATTACGTGCAGGCAGTGGTGGATCTAGAACAGTCACAAGGGGGGGGGACCAGGTTGTCTGAGAGGTTCGGGGGTACCCCCTCCCTCCCCAAAAATTTGTTTAAACTAAGTCTTCAAAAATGGCAGTTTTATACCATTTCTTTGTCCTGAGTTAGTGTGACAAATTATTTTACGCAATTTGTATGCACTACTGAATTACATGCAGTCAAAAATATATGACATACCTATATTTCCAAACTGCGACTGCCCCCCCCCTCTGGATCCGCCACTGGGGTGCAGGAGTACTATACCAGAAGAGCACAAAATATAGACTTTTCCTGCTGTCGTCTCAAACTTACCTAGAATAGCTATCCTCGTTCTACTATTAACTGCAACTCATAACTGCCTACTCATTTGCAGGAGATGGATGCACCCTCCTTCAGAAGGCGCTGAAAGGAATACTAATTATAGGCCGCTGTACTCCGTAAAAGAACTTAAGGAAGAGCACCTAGTGAGATAAGTGTGTGTCTGCCATATCATCCGTTAAACAGCCAGGTTTTTGAAGGTATAGTTTATTGTAAATATTATATATAGAGTTATTTATTAAATCACTTAATAATTTACTAGCTTCTGTGCCCGTGCTTCGCAACGGGAAGATGAACTATACCGCCTAATCCAAACAGTTGTTAAGTAGTCCGAATTTATGAACAAAAGCCACCAAATGTTGGCCTACTGTATAAAAACAATTATGACCAACATTGTAATTGCCCTACTGTTTACGTTAAAATATATCAATAACATAATATTCATTTTCATATTTGAGTTGTTTTGTCTCAAGATCAATGAACCAACTATAAAAGGTATAAAATTATCTCAGTACTGCCAGATTGATCCTGTTTAGTCCTTATGGATTACGGGTTTTAAGGACTTAAGTCCTCATCATGAGATCTTTTACAAGAACATTTAACACTGTAACTTCGAAAGGGTCATCAAGAGTTTAAATGCGAAACACGGACATATACTATTTACAGTCATAGACGTTTTATGAATAAAACGAGTAGGCTTACTGACAAAAACTTATAATGTCCAACCCCAACCTCGTGCGCACAGTTGCAGATGAGGGTCATGACTGCGATGCGGAAGATGGTTGGGCGGTGGACTTTGTACAGCTCGGCTCCTTGTTCATCAGCTGTTCTTGTTTTTTTATTAGAGTATCATACAGAGCGTTAGACTGTAAACTGATTTTGTCGCTTAATAATGTGTTAGCTTGAATTTTTATTGTTTTATAAATTTCAAATTCTTCTATAGAACCATCCATCCATTCCTGTATATTGCTTTAAAATTCAAAATAAACTACGCCATGGCTCGGTCCCCAGGTACTTATTTCAATTCAGGAAATTAAAGCCTTTACAACTATTATTCAACAAAAACTTCTTTGCACTAACTTGATCAGGGAAATATAGGCCTAGACAAAATATAAAAGGTTTAATTTACCTGTTGCTGATCCTGTTAAAACTGTTAACAGGGGCAGGCCAAGACCATAAAGCACTTCATCCAAAAATAAAATTATTGCGCACCCCATACAGTTGTTTTCTTGAAGTTACAAGTTCAGGCGTCCGATAAAAGCCTGTAGCTTCCCAATTAGATCCTCCTCAGGAAGATATCTATTTCTTGCCACATTAACAAGAGTTATTCTTCTAGCAAGAAGAATAACTCTTGGTAATGTGGCAAGAGGTTAACATGTGTCTTTAACAAGCAATGAAAGCCCCTCAAAGATCGAGTTTGTGTCGCACGTTTGTAGGCGGAATAAACCAGTTAAAAACTTTTAGTTAAGGGTACCTATGGTAATTTATTGTAAAATAAGACCTTTTTATTTGAAACTACCAACTACACCAACCCGCATAATTTGGTACCCTTGAGTATTTTAAAATTGTGACTTTCTTTACCAAGATTAAAATGTTTGTTTCAGGAAGAAAGATGTAGCCCCAGCTCTGGACAAAAATATTATGGAGAAGGTTGGCCGCTGTACAGGGCAGCTATAGTTATTATTATATGTTGCCTTTTATTGTTATGTACTGTTTTTATACTTTACCAATAAACCTTATATTTAATCTAGAGCAGTTAATTTTGTTAAAATTCTTACCAGTAAACTTCTCTGTAATTTGTAAAGAAAACATGTAAAAATGATTATATAGTTTATTTTGATCTTCTAACTATTTTGACAGTTTTATAGATAAAATATTCTTCTTTTTAGATATATTTTTTGATTGTTCTTGTTCGTACAGGTCTCAGATAACTATACATAAAGATAAAATGATATTTATATTTATATTATATATGCGAGTGCCAATCTTAAGAAGCAAAGTTAATATATAGCTAGTAAAATAAAATAATGTTGGTGTTTAATGACTAATGAGTGTACTGTAAAAATGAAATAAGTACAGTTGAACCTCTATAAGACGAATTTCAAGGGGTACGGGAAAAACTCGTACTATAGAGGTATTCTTAATAAAGAGGGTCGTTTTATCGAGGTTTAATGCTGCTGTTATTCTTCTTATAGAGGTTTCTCCTCACTCCAAAGTTTCTCCAAACAATGACTGAGGAAAGGAGGAGGGATGGGTGGGGGTTTCATGTTGAGACAAGCTTCTGTTTGTTTTGAAAACTATGTACTATGGAGGTTAAGATTATGATAAATTCGTCTTATAGAGGTCACGTTCGTCTTGTAGAGGTTTTGTGCTAAGAATATTCGTTGTATAGAGGCTAATCAGTCCTAGCCCATGTCACAAACAAATTCGTCTTATGGAGGTTTTTAACTTAATTACTACGTTGTATAGAGGTGTTTTTAGCATTGACCTATATGAAAGTGTCAAGGGGATTAAAAAAAAATTGTCTTATCGAGGAATTCTTTTTACCGAGGTTCGTACAAACGAGGTTCAACTGTAATTCAAAAGTTGAAACAAAAACTCTATTTAGCCAACCCAATAAAATCACTCAAGAATTTTCCTCTGAATAAATGTTTGAACTTCATAGTCTAGAGGTGTTAGGTTAATGTCTAGAGGTGTTAGGTTAATGAGACATAAGACTGCTTAAGGGTGTTGCTCAACGTGTAATGAACAAAATTAAATTAAGAAAAACAACAAAAGTAAAGAAAAAGAAAACTTTGAAAAGGCAAAGATCAACAATAATAAGATAAATAAATTTACAACGTTATAATTTACAAGAAAAGAAAATCAATTAAAAATTTAAAAGAATGAGTTACTGACAAACTATATGACTTGTTTGTTTTACAAAACTTTAGTTATATATTTTATTCTTTTTACATACTGTTTATTGTCCCAGAAGCACACGCACCGATACACACACTCCGAAACTCTCGATCTTCTTGGTCCAGTGGCCCGTGGTGAACTCCTCGATTTGTTTCTTCTGGTCCTCCAGCTCCGAGACTCCTCACCCCTCCATTTTCTTCATTAACCCTTCTCATTGGCTGATTGGGTGTTTGACTTATAGGTTAACGATGTTTCTTGGAAGTCAGCCCTACCGGTACCCTATCGCCTAGCTCACGTCAGCTGGGAAAGGAATTTGTAAATCGATACTCATGCTACTGTTCAACTCTCTTCACACCAACTGGTCGACTATAGTCCTCGCCACCCTAAGTTGAGGCAGCCAAAGGCCGCACTAGGTATATGCCGTGCAGCCTTGGGCTGCCTCAACTTAGGGTGGCGAGGACTAAGTGTAATGTAAACAGAGTATCTGCTTAGATGAGCACCGTGGGTACAGGGTTAATCCCCTTTCTTACAATGTAAATCTATGTTGTGAACTTCTTGACATACGAGAACTACTTTAGGGACAATTTATACTAGGCGTATGCTCATTCTTCCCGTATTGGGGGCCTAAGACATTGAAAAAGGCTGTGCTGGTAAAAGCGACCAGAATACACACTAAGACCGAAGACCCTAGTTGTTGCCGCACATAAAAATTATACTGGATATATAGCAGGTATGGAGACAAAAATCATGGATGCTCAAACAGTGTCTTGCACAGCAGATCATTTTGAGAATGCCAGAGGTCTTGGCACAGATGTGCTGAATGTCTGGCCCAAAGACCAAACCCACATGGCGAGTCAAATCTGGGAAATAGTCAATATCCAGAGAATTTTGTTAATGCCAACAATTTTTAACTTATTCTTGGTGGAATCAACCATTATCTTTGGTCAAGTCTTAGCTAAGACATCATTAAGAGACTGAGACGGTGGTGTCATCCTGTAATTCAGCTACTAGGAGGTCAGGAGTTGTGGATATTTATAGGCATGTACTGTGGATGTGATACTTCGTGGTTTGAATTAACGCCCTTACTGCGACTATCCGCATAATACTATCCTGATAATTAGACCAATTTTTTTATACCAAGGAAAAATGTGGTTCGGATTCTACTATAAACTGTAGGTCCCTATAGTTATCCATTAGCCCAAAGTATGGGCTATTAATTGACAGCTGTGTCTAAGGAATATGTCGGCCTTAGTCACTAACAAGGATACAAAATCGTGCCACTCATCCATCCTACACTCATCTCCATGCATACTGGTACTTGGCTTAAAATACCTGCTTTGTATGGTTGCCATTTCAAATTAAAGTATTAAGCCTAAGGCAAAATGACTCATAATCATAGAGGGAAGCAACTTTCCTCAAACAGATTTATATCGTCAGCGAACTAAGGGATCTTGATGTCTTTAAAGAATATGTACAACTAAAAATATCTGTAAATTTCTTTTGATGTTTTCATGATAAATATGCAATGCAATACAACAAAGTAACTTTTGAACATTAAAAATAGCTGTTAACAACAAATTTTTCGATAAAACTCTTTACAAAAATCTGAAGGGCAGGTCCAGAATTGATGGCCTCTCAAGTCCGTAAATTGCATCTGTGATGTTGTTTAGTAAGTTCAACGCTAAATGATTATTTATCAGTTAACTTAACTTATCCAATCAATAGTGTTAACAATACTCAATGTTAATACTTATGAAGTCAAACGGAACGGGGTGAAGCCCGTGGATATAACAGCTAGCTGTCTAGTTGATATAAAACACGTTTTTGAAAATAATTCGATTGATGCTTTAAATGCAAATGTTAGGCATTTATTTTATGAGTTATTTAATTTTTCATACAACAGATCTATGGAACATAACAATAAATTATTCTCTTTAGCGCTCCTTTGGCGAAGCACGGGTATGGCGGCTAAATATAGTACGCTCTATTTCGCAACGGGTACACAAGTTCAGAATACATTTTATTGTTTGATGTAATAATTAAGTCAATAGCCCAAAAGTAAACACATCCGATTTATTGTGCATCCTATGTTCAATTGTGTTTTGGATTTTGTCACATAACCTGAAAACCAGTTAAACGGTTACATGGAAATTGTGGGAAATTTCGCTCTACAAGTGCCTGCTGCATCCCTGCATTTATCCCACTGAGCTAGATTTATCCAACAGTGTTGTCATATTGAGGGAGTAACACTAAATTCAGGGGCGTAATCTCGCTGAATAAAATTAAAAGTCTGCAGCAACACCTATTTCAAATTTTAAAGACAGCTTTGTCTGGAGCTCCGTTTTTATATATTCTACTACTGTATTTAACTTATGGATTTTATTTTGTACCTTTCATATGTGTTATATTTAGCTAATAATCTTAACATATAAAAGTAAAAGCCCTAACTCAATGATTCATTACTAATCCAACTTCCAGACTAGCTAGAACGTTGAAATTTGGTGTACTGATTATTCAGGCATTAAATAGGAAAACTAAGTAGTTTTTATCCTGATCTGACTTTTGGGTTCCACCTAAGTGGTTCTGGAGTTTTCTTAACCTTATAAGTATCTATATTATTAAAAGACTTTGTTGGATTTTGTGTGCAGCAAATTGACCCATAAGTTTGAATGTTTATAGGCATATTGGGTATCTATATATTAAATATAGATACCCAATATATTTAATAGGCAAACACGAATTTTGTGACGAATCCGTTTTGAAGCTGCTATGCATCCGATCACCACGTAGATAAATGCTTTCCATTGACCTACCTTTATATTGATTGGCATATCACTGACAAATGATCACTATAATGTATCTCAAAACATATATAAGACCTAGAATAATAAAATTTTGCATTGGGACGACAATCCATGTATATGGTGTAGATGTACAAAGTTGGGGGTTTTGCAAAGTTCTAAATTCAAGGGTGGTTTAGGGGATTAAATCTATTTCAGAAGAAATTCGAGTATGCAAGATATTATATTTTGGTCTGTAACTTATAAGTTACAATGCTTGGATCTTAAATCTTATGGAAGATCGGTAGTGTAGAATTAAACTATCCACAACTTTTGTATTTCAAGAGTGTTTTTCTATCTCAAACTTATTTCGAGTAAAATAGGTTTACATTCAAAACTGTGAAAATTTGCTTGTTCCGCCACCTAAAAACTAGTCAGTGTCCGTACGTTTAATCATATGATTACCAATCTTTTATTTTATTAAATAGCATTATTTATTATATAATAATAATGCATAAATCAATAAAAGCTGTTAAAAACCTATCAAGTGTACTATCGCAAGTATAGCTACCGACATTATTACATTTTAGGAGCTTGCTTGCTCCCGTAAACATTTGAAATATTCTATTCTAAAGCTTCAATTCAGTATAGGTTGTTATCATTAACCGGAACTGCTACACAATTTGTTGTAAAACGGTGATAGTTTTCGTTAAACGTTAATAATAGAGTCAATCTTCTTATATTTGAAAATAAATTTAACCGATTTTCATGGTTGAGGTCTCAAATTGAAGGTGTGCACAGATTTCACTCTAAGCATCGGCATATATATTGATCTACTGTATTACTCGTCCAAAAAACATATATTTCACTTTTTCGAATTCTTACTTCAATTTAAGATGCATTTCACCAGTTATAATTATACAATCCTACATATTTTGGTCTAAGAACCTTCAGTGAAATGCCGGCTTTCATTTAAGCTATTAATTAGTTATCCAAATCGGACGGACTACAAGCAATTGCAATGTGAACAACCAACATATAAATTATTTTTTTATAAGGGTTTTCTATG